GCTTTTGCCCCGGGGTCACTGCAGTGGTCCAGCGAGAGGGTCATTGGCAGTGTTTGCGTGTTTAATTGTCCTCCGGATCCCGGTTGTTGTCCAGAAGAGGGAAAACACTCCTCCTCCATTCTCAACAGGCCTGTCCTTAAATAACTGAGACATGGCAAGAGCTTGTTGGGGGGCAGCCTTGAATGATGAGTGGCCCGTAATCCTCCGAACTTGAAGGGCTGGGGGCATCCCGTTAGTGCTGGCCGGAGCACGAAGAGGGAGCTCGCTTCTGCACTTCTCTTGCTGTGCAAATGCTGAAGTGGCTTTGTCCCTCGGAGTGCAAGAGGCACTCCGAGGACTCAGCAAACCTTTTTCCTGCTGGGTACGAGGCCGGTGGGGACAGCACCGTGGGTCTGGAATCGCAGCTCTGACTTCTGAGCACGCTTCCGAGGTTGGAGCTGGGGATCCGAATTATCCTGAGGCTGTGCGGATTCAGTCTAGTAGCTGTAGGAGTGTATTGCCCATTGCTTTGCTGGACTTAAACTCCACTTTTCCACCAAAAATGCTGCTTAAGGCAGCCTGCAACTACTAATAAAGTGCATTGCATACAAGAATCCAACGGCTGTGCTTGAGTGGAGATTCTGGCTGATATGGATTACCCATAACTTTTAAGTGGTAGCCACTTGGCCCTCATCAGTAAAATGTGAGGTGGTGACCCGAAATGATTACAAGATGCTTGCACAGATCACTGAGAATGTAGGTAAGTGTTTGGAGTTTTATAAAATACTTGTGGTTTAATAGGGCACCTGGCTGAAGGTGGATAGCATTTTTAATTTAATTAAATTTGAGAGCTGCTCACTAATATCATGCTCTCTCAGCATCCATTACAACGATAAATGCCAATAAAATGACATTAGATAAAAGCAATACTATTTAAAATACCATAATAAAAATAGAACAGGATAAATTCAGAAAATACACACATAAATAAATAAAAACGTAATATATAATATTTAAAACAGTGCAATTAGCCAGAATGACCTAAATAGCTCTATAGGCACCCAGAAAAAGGAAGGTTTTTGTCAGGTGCCTACAACTCAGCAAAGTTTTACAAAAAACGTGGGGTGGATTGGGTTAGCTTTCCTTGTCGCAGTCTCGAGAGAATGGTTGGGACTGGTAAAACCGTGGAAACATGTGGGTGCAAAAGCCTTCAGGGAGCATCAGTACTCCGCTTGGTGCAAAAAGAAATTTGATTTCTTTTGCACCTAATGCACTCTTCATACAGTCATGTAGTATAGGATGCAGCTACAACATCACTAATTCATGGCTGTCCAGGCACTGTGGAGGCACCTCCGGGGAAGGTGAGCTCCCTGTCAAAGACCGTGCCAGGTAGAAGTTTCTCCCAGTGCTGTCCCCAGATCTGTTTCCCTGTGATTTCCACTCCCTTCCTTCTGGAGTAACAGAGAACATGGCTCCATCTTCGGCATAGCATCCTTCTTCAGAGTGTGGTACCCAGGACTGGACGCAGTTCACCCCATATGATCTCACTGGAGCAGGACAGAGTGGAATTGTTGGGTTGTATCTACTGGCAGTCTAACCAGAATCCCATGGAATTGAATGGTCTGCTATGCAAACGATTAACCTTGGATACAGCCTGTTACGTCTCATCATCTGGACACGGCCCTTCTGTTTAGGTAATGTAATGGGCAATCCTTTGCATGATTAGACAGCAGAAGTCCTGCAATTCGGACCATCCTTTGAACCCCCGATTCTGTGAAGCACTCAGATTTCAAAGCAGTGCAGGCAAGACGCGATGCAAATGTCGACAGAGCAGAGTCTTGCAACTGCCAGCATCCCCAGCCAGCCATGCATGGACATGCACTGAAGCCTCGTTCCAAACCGCCACTGATACTCTGAGAAGGAGAAATAGAAATCCATCTCGGTGGAACTTTGGTCTGCCTCAGGATGTGTTCTTCAGAGGGACAGAAGCAGCCCCTGAAGGTTGTGGCTTTCTCTTTGACGCATCTTTTTCAGAATAAGGGGGAGGCAAACTTCCTGTGGACCTTGCCATCGGCCTACAAACTGATACAGGTTACACCCAGTGTTCCCAGTAGCTCTCTCAAAGAGATCAAGTCAGCCTGGTCTGACTTAGTCCTGATAAAGCCCACACTGCTTCCAATCAATGCATTGTTTTCTAGTTGCTCACAAATTGGCCAGTTAGTAATCTGTTCTAGAACTTCCTCCTGGAACGGTCGGCCTCCTTTCCTGAAGGCAGGAACAATGCTGGAGGCTCTCCACGCTTCCCATACCTCACTTGTAGGCCAAAAATTCCCGGAGGATACACCCAATAGCTCCTTCAGCATCCTGAAGGTGCAGATTCACCTGGTGTCCGTTCCCCTACTCTCAGCCTAGCCCGCCCTGCAGGGTTGTAGTGGGGATAAAAAGGAAGGAAATTTCTTGAAAGAGGAAAAAGGCAGGCTATAAATGTCACAAGTACTGAGAACAAGGAAAATAAATTCTGTGCGCCCGAGCAGCTGCCGATGAAGGGGGCCTGGGTGTCAGCACACGAAGCAATCTGTCTGGTGGCTCTCTGGATGTCATGGGTGGTGGCCGTGGGTGGTGGACTCAAAGGCATTGCAGGAATCTGTCTTCTTACAGCAACAGATTTAAATAGCAGCGTCATGGAAGTTGGTTGTCTTCTCCCAGGTGAGGCCAAGTTGTCTGTCCAGAGTGCAGCTGGGTTTTGTCCGCTGGGACTGAGGTCTTAAATCTGAGATGTTGGGAACTAAACCCTGGGCCTTCTATCCAGAAAGCAAATGTGCCGCCACTGAGCTGAACTTCCCCGCAAAGAATTGGAATGTGGGACATAGCTGGATGTTGATCGGATCTATTTTCCTTTTTAAAGGCAGTTCTATCAATCACAAGCTTTTCTTTGTAACTTTTCTTTGGAGAGCCAGTGTGGCGCAGTGGTTAAGAGCGCAGGACTGGGACTCAGAGGATCTGGGTTCGAGTCCCCGCTCGGCCATGGAGCCAACTGGGTGACTTTGGGCAAGTCACAGACTCTCAGCCCAACCTGCCTCACAGGGTTGTTGTTGTGGGGATAAGATGGAGGAGGAGATGTAAGCTGCCTTGAGCCCTTTGTAGGAAAAAGGCAGGATATGAATCGGAAAATAAATAAATATATGGATTTCTCATAGTTTATTGTGGGGGGTGGGGAGATGTTCTACATGAATGCAGGGGTGTGGGCAAAGGTTTTCCACCAGTTTGCTTCAATGATAACATTGTAGGGATTCTTCGCTGGAGAGAAATCCATGGGGTGATTGGAGGAAACTGTGTTTTAAGCCTGTGGTGAGTCAGCTAATTTTGTGGCTCTCGTGATCACCCCATTTCTGAAATCCAGCAAAGTGTGGTGGCAAGGCAATGCTGGCATTCTTTTAAAACAGCCTGGTTGTAAAGGAAAATTGTACATCCTGCAAGTGTCCAGGGAGCATAATTTTCCTTGAAACGAGGGAAAATGGTGTTTTGTCCCGGCCCCGCTGCTCCAGTGGTGCTGAATTTCAGCAGCAGGTCTGGGGACCTCTGAGTCCCCCACTGGGTTCTGGAGTGGAAGGACCAGCCCCTGGAGCCGGGGATGTTCCACACCCTTGCTTCAAATTTGGATAGGGCTCGTGAATGACCTGCTAGACTAGCCACCCACATTCTGCAGATTCCAGTTTGGACTATAAGCCCCACCATCCCCAGCCAAGTAAGACTGGGAAGATGGGGGCTGTTGTCCTAATCGCCTTGCAGGGGCCGTGGGGTGCCTTTCCTTCTCCTGCCTTCCGCTGCCCCCTCCTAATTCCAGGTGCCTCTTAAATTTGTATATTTCCCAGCCGCAACACTCGCTGGAACGAACACGCCTGCTCCCCTGCCCCCCCGCCGCCTTTCCTGGCTCTTCGCTGTCGCTGGCGGCCACAAAACGCACGACTCCCACCAGATGGCAAATTGGGATCCTTCCATAAACGAAATCTGGTCGTCTTCAGAGTTGCAGCGCTCCCTATTTTTAGAGGCTCCCACACATCCTGCCTGCTTGAGTGTTCTGGACGGGGAGAAAGAAAGAGAGAAGGACATGATGCAAATCACAAGTACTGAGCTGACTCGAGAAGCAAAAGGCCGGGAAATTCTAGTTGCGTGTGTCGCCGGTGGTTGTTTATGTCCTGGGAATAGCATAGTCCACCTGGAGCATGGGCGAATCCGATTCTGCAGAAAAGCAAATGTTAAAGTGACTGGGGTGGATCAAAACCTAATTCTTTTGGGGGGGAAATTAGCTTTGCTTTTCAGAGTAAACGCAACGTGAGTCATGGCTAAAACTAGCACATGCTGTGGATTTCTGGAAGTGAGGGAAAAGGGGAAGAAGAGTCGCAGAATATGTAATCATTAGGCACAGCTCTCCAAGAATCTTTGGTTCTGTGTATTTATTTGCATTGGTCTCTGTCTTTCATGCAAGCTACTAGCCAAGCATTCCCCAACTTGGTGCCCTCCAGCCCCTGCTGGCAGGGGTTGATGGGACTTGGAGCCCAACACACCTGGAGCACACCAAGTTGGGAAGGGCTGTCCTGGAAGCTTGTGTGCAGCTTGGAAAACACAATGTTTTGTTAGGTGCCTGGGTTGCATGACATTATCGCTAAGGTGCGATCTCCAGGGAAAGGGGGGTGCAGCTTTATTTCTTGATTCATTGCATGTACATCTTTCCTTTCCTCCAAGGAGGGGTTGATGCCAAACTGCATGGTTTCCCTTCCTACCCCTCCCCCCGCAAATTCATCCTCACAACCACCTTGCGAGGTAGGCTAGGCTGAAAGACAGTGAGTGGCCCAAGGCTGTTCCATCTGCCCCGTCCCAGTCTCACCCCTGCACCACACGGTTCCCAAAAGCCGGTCTTCTGCATTCAGCACTTGTCTGCATTCAGCACTTGTCCTTCACCGGCGCCGAATTTCTCCTGCTCTTTTGGGTTTAACAGCTGTTGCATTTGCGAGCCCAAAGCTCAGCAGTTGCAGGCACAGCTTAGGCGAAATGTACTATGGATCTTGCAGGAGGAAGAGCAAGAGGGACTGGGGATCGGATTCGGCCGAAGACGCTCAGCCAAGGGTCGCTTCATCTGCTGCCGTGTGATGAAAAGAAGCATCAATCCGGCGTGTGCCTGTAGCGTCACGGGTGAGGCTATATATGCCTCTTTTTAAGCGTGGCTTGTCCCCCATCTCAGCGTGTTTGCTGCAGGCTTGTCCCGAGAACTTTGGCATGTGGTTTATTTTTTTTGAGCGCCGAGTGCCTGCTGGGTGTGCAAAAGCATTCAAGAGGCAGCGATTGATTTTTCAATGTGCTTGTCTGTCAGGAGGCCTGCGTATTTATGGAAACCGACGCGTTCTGTGAGAGCGTGCTCGGAACATGGAAGCTCGCTCGCTTATTTCAGAGCAACCCCAGGGAGGCGGCTTCCAGGTGTCGTCCCCGCAAGATGGGATTGTCCCAACAGCTTGTGGCCCAGCAAAGGTTGCAGTGATGGGGTTTAGCAGCCAAGAAAAGGCTGACGGGGTTTAGCGTAATCTCATTAGCAGGTTGTCTGGTGCTTCCAAGGTCTTAACTTGCCTCTGTTGAAGTTTCCGGCGTAATTTGCTGCTGTTTGCAAGAGAAAACAGGATGCCGGACAGTGAGGGGCAAGTCCATCTCCCGGTCTTGTAGAGCAGTTGGATTGTAGATGCATCTTTTATTGTTTGCAGGGGGAGTTATATGCGCCTTTGGAGTTACTAAATGGGTGACTTTTAAAACATAATTTATCAATTGCTGCTAATGCAACAGGAGGGAGGGCTTTTTTGTCTGTGGAGCACTCCAGGCCAGCTCACGCCAGATTTGTCATCTTTTCAGTGCCAGGTTAAGACGGCCCTCTTCTCCGAGGCCTTTAAAGATTTCCTTGGCTTATCACTCATTCCGAGTGTTTTGCCAAGTAATTTTCGCTACTGTCTCTTCTGGTGCTGTAAACTTTTCAATGTGTTTTTCTGATTTTATGACATTTTAATTGTGTTCTTGAATTGTTTGCTTCTGTTGTGCGATGTATACCACCCAGAGGGCTTTGGCTGTGGGGTGGAATAGAAAGGAAATAATGATTCTATCACGGAGTGATTGGGAAGCAGAGTTGCTGTAGCGACTGAAGGTGGACAACTGAAGATGGCTGCATGCGCCCCAGGAGGGTCTTCACCACCGGCATCCTGGGGGCCTGAAAGTGAACCTCTGCCCCACGGAGCCCTTGTCACCTGGGCCCTGAGCATCTAGTTAACACGCTGCACCTCCCAAGACTGACTCTTCTGGGCACACGGCCGTTTCGCACTCGCGTGCAGTGCGGGTCTTGTCTTTTCAGCCCCTCGGGTGGGGGGCCTGGAGATGCAGGCGCTGCTCCCAATGGCAGAACGAGGGGGAAAGATGCAGCTCAGGGCCCTGCGTGCCGACAGCCCATGCTCTGTGCCACAGAAATGTCAAATGGCGTCATGCACGGAAGGAAATCCCATATTGCACATCGCTGCCTTGCTTTGCAGAGAGCCGGTGTGCTTAGGGGTGCTGGATCCGGGTTCGAGTCCCCGCTCGGCCATGGAGCCAAGTGGGTGGTTTTGGGTCAGTCACAGAGTCTCATCCTGACCTACCTCTCAGGGTTGTTGTGAGGATAAGAGTGAGAGCGGGAGGAGGAACGTTGTGTAAGATGGTCTTGAATTCTTTGAAAGGAGAAAAGGCAGGATAGACACTTAATAAACAAATTCAGAAGCTGGAAAAGTTCACTAATGGGAGCATGGTGCTAAAATATGATTTAAATAGCATTAATGAGGAATCTGAAGTCCAGATAACGTACAGATTTGCGTTTCTGAACTCAGTTGAACATGGCCCAGAGGAACTGTGGGCTGAAACCAGAAATGTTATGAGGGAAGAATGCTAAAATGTTATTGTTTTAATGTATTTTGTATTTGATGTTGTAAGCCACGATTTCTGTAGTGATGATGATGGGGTGGGGGGGCGCTCATCTTCATTTTGCCTGATGCTGGAGGCAGACTGGGAGTCTCTGCAACTCTTTAAAAAAAATTCTTAACATATACAGATACTTAGAAGAAAATGTGGAACAGAAAGAACTAATATAAACAGAACAAACTAAGATAAACAAAGTGAGCAAAGTCGCCAAGCGAATTTTAAACAAATGCAGTCTATACATTAACTCTCCCCTTTGCAACTTTTAAAGTAGTTGGAATCGATGGCCATCAGTACTGCATCCTGTGGCAGTGAGTTCCAAAGTTGAATTACAAGCTGTGTGAGGAAGGACTTCCTTTCATCTGTCCTGAACTGAAATGTTGGGGTGACTCTGGGTTCCAATATTTTTTTATATGATGTATAAAACTGTATCCAATAATCCCAACTGGGATTCTCTAGGTGGTGTACATCCGTCAACAATGTAATACAAAATTATGCAATACATAGCAATTAAAATAGTTTAAAAACTATTAAAACATAAAAAATACCAAAACACTTCCACATTAATATTTTATACAAATTTAACCACCGTCCGGGTAGTGATTGACTCAATAAAGGAATTAGTTCATTTGAACAATCCACAGATTTTGAAATTATTGGAATATTGCTCAATTATTAAAATATCAAGCAAGCAGAGCGGTTTCAGCCTGGCGCTGAAACGATTGTAAGGAAGGTGCCAGGCGAGCTTCTCTGGGGAGCCGGTTCTGAAAATAGGGTCCAGCCACCGAGAAGGCCCATCTTCTGTTCTCCATCCCTTTCGTCTCCTTTGGGGTTGGCACTTCAACTGAACAACCGGGTAGGTACAGGTGGGAGAAGGCAGCCCTTCAGGTCAATAGTCCTTCAGTATATGAAAAGAGGGGGAAACAATTTCCTTGGTCACTTTCTCTGCACCACCCGTAGCTTCCTCTTCCTCTTCCTCTCTTGTCTCCCCACCTCGCTGCTGTTTGAAGCAAAATCATTCCAGACGTTGGAGGAGCCACTGAGGATTTGACCTGCCCTTACTGCACTTCTCCAGCTCATCATTCTTTTTTTTAAGTGCACTGGCCGGAATTGTGTGCCGCACTCCAACTGGGCAGTTTAATTCCTTTTCTCTAATTATACCTACCATGGAATTTGCCCTTTTCGCATTTGTCTGGGTTGGCGTTTTGATTAAGCCGTCCAGAAGAACCCTAAGGTCTCTTTTTGGGTGGGTGGCTTCAGGCTCAGATCTCATCAGCACGGCCGTGGAAGTGCCCAGTTGCTTTGTACTGGGCCACACTGGCCATTTTTATGCCTTTTCTTCCCCTTTGGAGAGATTTGACTTACGGAGCATGTGAATAAGCATGACTCAGGGAGTCCGTTCTTTGTGTTTTCTGTGTGAGTCACTGTTCCACGCATGACTTCCACCTGAATGAAGTCTTCCACTTCTCCGCCTCAGCGAGCAATCAGAACAGTCGCTCCCTGTGAAGGGATGGAGAAGGACCACCTGCTCTTCTCAGAGTCTGATTCAAAGGCCAGAACTGCAACTCATGCAGAGATGCAGCAACGCCTCTTCGGTGGGTGCATCATCTTGGAGGTGCGGTAGGGTACATTTTTCATTTTGACATACATCTTGAGACTTGTCGTGTGGGCGGGTGAGCATATCCTTGCATTTCTCGACTGTTCAGGGAAAATTCATGTTGATTTGGGTTTTTTTTAACATGATCAAGAGGAGACTTTTAGGTTGCTAAGCTGGAAGAGGCAACATTTTGCTGACACTGATTGGATAGGCCTTGCTTAAAGAGTGAGCAAACTCGAGGCTGGTATCATTAAAGCTTGCCAGTGATTCATTAGATGACAATACTGGCTCTGAACTGTATTTTTTCACCTTCCACACCAAATATTAATTGCATGGCTTTGAGCTTAATGCATAAATAAGAAAAATAAACAGAAAGCCTGCATTAGAAAACCTTTCTAATTCTGTTGCAATAACAAAATGTTTGCCAGACTGTGACACACCCTGAGCGATGGGGAAAGGAATAACACAGCCCGTCTTTTTAGCAAATGCGGGTCTGTATGGAGAACCCTCCCCCATCTTGAGCCAATACTGTGGTTTGGACTGGAAATCTGGCAAATACATTGCATCAGTGGAAAAACATTTTGCAGTCGCTTCGGCCTGGTATGTTTAAAGGGTTCAGGACTCTCTTAATGAAAAGGGGCATGCGTGCGCACTTTGAAAAGGCTTTGCCTCCTGCAGCAGAGAGTTCGTAGGAAAATACAACATGAGCTCATTTGCTGATTGAATCGGACGCTGCAATGTGACTTAGAGCAGGACTGGGTCATGTGCTGGAAGTCTGATATCTCCGCTCCTCTGACCTCGTGGACTGGCTTCATCATCGCTGGAACTGGGCCCGGGGTTATGGAGAGGGCTCCCCTTTGTCCGGTGTGTCTGTGTCTGTGTTTGCTTGTGCTCCGAGGGCAGGAGGCCGTGGTGGCTGTTTCCCGTAGCCCCGGCTGTCCCTGCCCTGCCACGTTGGCACAGGTGAGCTGTGTGGTGTCCGGAGGGAACGTCACCAAGCAGAGCCAGATGGGTTCCCAGGCCTCCTCCAGGCTCTCTGGCTGTCCAGCATCACGCAGGAGCTGGGAGAAGGAAGGCAGGTGTGGTGGGACTCGCGGAGGAGGACAGAACGGGGTCCGGCTGAAAGACACTCTTGCTCGGGGGCCCTCCAGAATGTGGAACTGCCACTGTTTTTTAAATTATTCAATGCAGTGTGCAAGGCACATTCACAGCCAGCAGGAGAAGAGGTCTCTGCCCCAAGGAGTTTACAGTCTAAAATAGATTGGGTTAGAGCCGATTGAAACTTCCCTCCCCCACTGTTTCTGACACATCCCGACCAGGGCGTTTTGTGTTCTGAGTTAAGAGAGACAACACATCTCGGCAGTTTGCATCATTTGGGCCGTGAGTGCCATCAGACCACGAGCGTGAAATCGAGTGGTGTGAAGCTTTGCACGCATGAGGAAGCTGCACGTTTGTCACGTGAGGATTGTTATAAACTGTCTGGAGAGCTTTGGCTGTGGGGTGCTGTAGAAGGGGAAGAATAAGGATAATAATAATGGGAGTCTTTGGACTGCACACCTGGCAGGTACTTGGCTTTTAAAGCGTGTTAAAGAATCTGAATTAATTAAGAGTGTCTGTGGGTGGAATGCGCAGGGGCAGTTTCGGCCGTGAGGAAGAGACGTTCTGAACCAGCGCAAAGCTGTGCGTTCCCCGTGGCTTACAGGAGGCGGGGGGCCGGAAGCATGCACCCCCCCCGAAGCTTCCAGGGGCATTCAGCGGATAGCCCCTTCCCAGGGGTGGCTGCAGGGGTGCAGCCTGGCAGCACAGAACGTTGTGCGGAGGCCTCACCGGATCATCCGGAGGGTTGCGCAAAGCTGGGTCCATTCAGTGGTCGGTTAGCGTAGGAAGCTTGCTTGCCAGAAGAAAGGCTTGGCCTGGCTGCTACTGGCAGGGGCGCGCACCACATGTGCCGTGCACACAGCTCCCATCATCCCCAGCCAGCGTGGCCAATGGCTCTTGGCCCTCCCTAGACCTGGTTGAGGCGTTTCTGGCCTCTGTGGCTTCAGACGGCAGATGCAAGCTCGCATGAATGAATGTTCCTTCCTATGGAAATTCAGCTTGTAGAGAAGGGCTCCTGGCATATTAGGTTTCTAATTGCAGGGGTCTTCCTTTTTCTTTTTTTAAACGAAGTCTTACCCTCAGTCAGCCCTGGCTTCTCCTCTGTGTTGCCCGTATGCTCTCTGCAGGCCTCTCTCTTTCTCCTCCGTTCCTTGCCTCTCAAAAGTAGCGTGTGGCTGATTCTTTCTGGAAGGGTTTCCTGTCAAATATTGTGTCATTTGTTTTTGCTTTCGGTTTTACGACAGTTGAATGAAGCCAGGCCTGCCAGATGTTCCCGGCACGTGGGGCAGAACTGAGCAAACAGCTTCTTAATGGATGGGTTAGACATTCCTGTAGAAACCAGCTCCCCTCTCTTCCCCTCCCTAGCATTGGACTTGCCCTACGTGATCATTTGCTTTCTATATAACCAATATTTTAGAGTACGAATATTCTCCAGAGTTGATATTTGGGTGACTTTTGCAGCTGTCCCAGCCTGGTGACAAAGGGTGTGTGTGAGAGGGCAGTTGGCACAGGAGCCGCACCGTAATTTCGGCCTTGGTGCTTCGTGACATCCTGGGTATTTGAGCCGCAGCATAATTGTGCTGTATCTCTTCCAGGGCTGGCAAGGCTGGGTGTGCCAACCCTTTATAGGTTCAGTCAGTGCGATAAGGGGGCTTCGGCATTCAGCACAGCTCCCGGCCCGTGCCTCGCCCGGCCACGGCCGTGGATCTCTGCTTTCTCTCGTCTGGGTTGGAAAGGAGAGGAAGGCCGGCCAGGGAGAATGGCGAGCTGCAGTCTGGATGATTCCAGACAACCCCTGTCCTGGGAGGATTTCTCACGGATGGGAGTCCTGAGCAAGAGGTGAATCTTCCTTCATCCCCTAACACATGAGCATCCTGTTATCGCCCCATTATGGGGCTGAAGTGGAAGGTGGCCGGAAGCTAGCTGAGTTTATCCTCAGCGGCCTCCAGGTCTCTGCATCCCCTCTCAAAAGGAGGACGGCTGAAGCTTCGAATGTTGGGAACTGAACATCGGAAAGGCCCTGCTGTGTCAGGCCAAAGGTTTTCCCCTGGTCCAGGCGAGCCTCTCCAGGAGGATGCAAGTGGGGCAGGAAGACCGCTGCCCCCTCCCCCCTGCATCCTGTGCCCTGGCCCACCTTGTTCTGCAGATGCTGAAATCTGGGTGCGCCAACCTGCAGGGAACATGGGCTTGACGGGGCTGCTTCGAGTTCTGCAGAGCAGGGGTGGGGACTGCATCTCCCTCATCCGAGACCATTGCCCATGGTGGCTGGGACTGATGGGAACTGGAGTCTAACAACAGCTAGCAACAGAGGATGCTCCCTTTTACTGGCTAAGGCTGCTGGTCCATCCAATTCAGCATTGTTGACACTAACCTGGGATTCCGCTCTCCTGGGATTCAGGACAGCTTTCCTGGGCCTGCCTGGAGTTGTTGGGAATTGAACCCAGAACTTTCTGCTGTGCAAGGTGAAGGCTGTAGCACTGACCTGCTGGCCCCTTCCCTCTTCAGCCGGGTTGGCTTGGAAGAGGCCGTGTGTTCCAGGCCAGATCCACCTGGGGGCTGCCTTCACTTGCAGCTTGTCTTCTGCTTTCCGACTCCCACACTGAGGTGGTGGGTGAGCGACCAAGCTCACGCTTTCAAGGGGGGATCCGGGCGCCTCCCGGTTGTGTCACATAAAGCTTCGGCCCATGACTTTGGAAAGGCCATGACAGTTCGCATAGATGGCACCTCCCCAAACCTGGCCCTCCACGTGCTGTGGACTTCAGAGGCCCTCACCACGGCCAGTTGTCCGGAGTTGTCTAAGACAACTTCCTTTGCAGCCGGCTGCGTCTCTGCCCAGCCCTCCGGTGCTTGAAGCTCTGGTTGGAGATGCCCGATGAGGAGGTGAACTTGACGCTTGCGTGTCCAGGGAGTCGCTTCCCGAGGTGGGGACCGTGTGCATACCTGGCCAAAAACGAAGCCGCAGCTCCTTGTGAAGTCTGCTTGGTTTGAGTTGCATCCTGACGTTCCACCAAGAAAATGGCCCTTCTGGCCGCTTACCCTCACAGGGAAATCAAAGCTTGGATTGAATCAGAAGTAAAACAAACATGTTAAAGCACAATTGACAGATGCCACTGTAGGAGAATAAAAGCTGCCACCAGACAGACAGACCAAGCCCTTCGTGAATAAAAACGTCTTTGCCTTGAAGCAGGGGTGGGTGTGGGGGGAGAGAAAGCATCGTTGCCCTTAAAAATTATGGCTCCTTTTTGTATGAACTCTGTTCCACCACACGCCCTCCTCAGATGTGTCACCGGCAAGACTGGTTCTCTGTGCACCGTGTCCGCCATGGCTACAGCCTCCCCAGAAGACAGGGAGAGCAACCGCGGTTCTAACCTTGCTGCTTGGACGGCCTTGAAGCGTGCTGGTTTTCCAGTAATTCATACGTTTCCTGGCTTTTGCGTTTTTGGCAGCTGCAGAGCCTGGACTGGAGATGATGATATGGCCCCGTGGTTTATTAATGAGCGGCTGAAGCAGCGGGCGACTTCTCTGGGCGAGGTAGGAGAAGGGAAATGGGCTTGGTCCCACTGCTGGGATACGTTTGGGGTTGGGGTTCTCATGATCTCAGCTGGGGCAAGCGAGCCGGGGCTGAGCTCTTGACAGAGGCCTTGACACCCCCGAGTTCGTCCAGCCACCACTGTTGGAGGTGCGGTTGATGGAGATGCGGATTCAGTTTCGCACAGTGGAGTTTCCCACGAGGAAACAGTTTATGGTGTGACCTACCTTCTTCTTCTTTCTCTGCCTTGTGATTCCTCACTAAAATTACTTCCCTTTAAGGCATGGCTGTTGCTAATTGCTGTGTGCCCGTGTGGAAGTTCCTACTGCTTTTATGGGGCATTGTTCTGATGAGAATTTGGAGCCATCTTGGGGGGTTCCACCGGGCAGGTGGAAAAACAGAGCACCTGTCCTTCCCATAGTGAACTCTGGCCGTGGACACAGGCTGAAAAGGCCGCGGAATGGTGCCATGGAGAAGCGAAGGGCAGGGGTCAGGGGGCATAAGGGGACCCTGAGTTTTGCAGCCCCATGTGCCCCCCAGGGGACAGGGAGTCTTCCAAATCACCCACACCTAAGGGGAGAACCTTGCAGCCCCACATGGACTATGAGCAATAGCCAGTGACATTAACCCCCAAGTGGGAAAGACAAATGGAAAACGGGGGATTGGGAGGATGAGCGATTTCTGCCCCCTGTCCTGCTTCTTGCCACCCCCTGTGTGGTAATTGTGGTGCTGCTTATGGGGTGGCTTCTTTCTAAGAGACTCTCCGCCTTTATAATCGAGGGTTCCCCAGACCACGCCTTCCCCGCTGCGGCCAATTCTGTTAGTATGTGAGAACCTCCGGGGAGCCTTAGCCATGAGGCGGGCTGGACTGTTGAGCAAGCACTTTCCCAAAAGGACATTTTGTGCCTCAGTGACGGCTGATTTACTCGGCCTCTTCCAGAAGGCCGCTTGTTGACATTCTTTTGGACTGAAGACACACCGGCCGGGCTTGTGCCGGGAGGGATCCGGTTCGGGGCGGGGAATCTCTCGGGTTTCCTCAGCTCGGCTCCCTGGACTCCAGCCAGGTGCCTCTCTTTCCGAAGTCTGCCTCGTGCCAAGAGTTCATCTGGGCATAGGCAGGAAGTGGGTTCAAGCGGAGTTTCACTTCCGCACATGTGACTTGTGGGCTTTGCAAATGGCACTAAGAATTCTGTGCTCTGTGTGCTTCATGCTGCTCCTGTTGGATTACTGCCTACCTGGATGGCTTATCTGGACTTTTACTTGCCTTTGCTGTTAGTTCTGCCTTGCTGGTGTTTGACCTGGGCTGCTCTGTGTACCACCTTTGCCTCTGGACCTG